AATAATTATGGATATTTTTATTTTTCTTTAAATTTTTTATGATTTTATTTATTTATTTATTTTTTGATCCGTTCTATCCTGTTGTATCTAAATTTAGGATTGATGAATTTGATGATGATACTGTTGGAATGTATGTTTGTAAAGTTGATGTACAAGGCAAACAAATTGAAGGTTATGTGAAAGCAGAAATATACGGTTAGCATGTTATTAACTTTAGATAAATTAATTCGAAAGTATTTAAAAAATTTGTGCAATTGAAATATGGTTGATATAAATTAATTATTCTCAAATCACTTTCTTTTGTGGTTTTTTTTAAGTTCCGGATACAATAATACAAGTATTGCTGGAACCATCATCTGAAAGTATATCACTGGGTGATCGAGCATGGTTCGATTGTAAAGTAACAGGTGATCCGGATGCTGAAATAACTTGGACAAAAGAGGGTGAAGATGAACTGCCGGATAATACTCAGGTTTTCATTTATTCACTTACTTATTTATTTATTTTTAATGTTACGATCATATGAATATTTTTTGTCAATCCTTTGGTCAGGCTAATTTTTGAATTTTATTAACATTTCCAATCTGATGAATTTCTTAATTCCAAAGATTTTGATCTGATAATTTTTTTTTCATTCCGGGACTTTTAACTTGATGAGTTTCTTAATTCTCGAGGTTTTAACCTGATGAATTTTTAATTCTAAACGATATAAATTTTTTATATCTGTTCATAATTCAATATCGCATATGTTTCATTTTTTTTTTTATATTTTCATTTCGTTTCGTCTTTATAATTGAAATTTCACTGTCATAATTTCATCATTATGCTTTGCTCAATTGGCATAAATTTACACGTAAACTAAAGCTATATCTTTTAATGTAATATTCTTATCAATTAGTCGATAAAGTAAGCTTTAATATCTGAGATTGTATAGGAATGCCTTAAAATACTACCTACATTAATTACTATATGACTTTAATTAATTGATGTATGACTTACTATATTTTATAATAGCGATGTACTTTTCTATGCTTATTTGAGTTGTGTATGAAGGAAAAATATGAATAGTAGAAAAGTTTACTGAATAAAAATCGAAAGAATCATTTTGTAAAAAAGAAAAAATAAAATTTGCAAAATTAAAAAATAAAATTTGTTCAAAATTAGTTTAAAAAAGAAGGACTAATGAAATTAAAAATTGATTTAAAATTTTACTTCGTAAAATTTTTTAATATTCCCTGAAATAATTTCTAGGTTATGGGTAATCGTTTATTGTTTGTAAACGTACGCGAAGATAATGGTGGTATTTATAAATGTCATGCGAAAACGAAAGCTGGACCATTGGAAACACGAAATGTGCTCAATGTTGGAATTGCAAAACGCAAGCGAAAGCGTATTTCACGTAAAAAAGAAAAACGAGCCTATAAAGAGGCTTGGAATAATGATAAGAAAAAGAAGCATAGTTCATCCATTTTTGGCACTTGGTTTACATCTGGCTAAAATACTCTTATTATTAATTTGAAAAAAAAAAGAAAATTATTCATGAATTTTGAAATTTTATTTATGATTTTTTTGCGGAAGAAAAAAAAACAAAAAAAAAAGTTGTTGCTAAAATCATTTTTTTTCTAATACTATTACAAAACAACAACAACAACTACTACTACTTACTACTATTAGTACCATCATCATCAACTATACTTATCATTATGTTAATTGCAATTATTATTGTTGCTATCACTACTGCTACTATCACTAGAGCTAATTAATTACACACTAATAATAATACCGCTATAATTGTTATTTACTGTGGCACTACCTTTATTGTCCTGCCAAAAAAAA